GTGCGTCAGACGTGCGGTGCCGCACTCGCGCGGCGACGCGCGCGCCGAGTCGGTTGTCAAAGTCGACAATCCCTACCTCTTAAATATGTGCAATCAATCAGAAGCAGTTCAGCGTGTGTCCGCCCGTGCTTGGACGCAGCGGCAGCGGCGGCGGTGCGAGGCGGCTGGGGCACGCGCGCAGGAAACGATCGGGGCACCGCGCAACTCGGGCGGTCACTGGCGCGGGAGAGAGGCCGGCGTGCCGCCTACGGCGCCGCCTCGGCGCCGGCGGCGCGCGGGGACGAGCGCGCGCTGCCGCCCGCGCCTGAGCTCGAGACCGTCCCGCCGCCCGACCCGGCAGGGCCCGCGGGGCCCCACGCCAGCGCCGCCGCGCCCGCGAGCGCCGCGGCCGCGCCGGCCGACGCGAGCGCCGAGGACACGGGCGTCGCGTCGTTTGACGACGCCGCCGCGGCAGACAGCGGGAAGCTTCCCGAGGCGGCGGCCAGGGATGACGCGGCGTGGGACGGGCTCGGGCCGAGGCCGCCGCCGCCGCCGCCGCCGGCGCCGACGAAGGAGGAGGCCCCGGTCCCACCCGGCACGGCCAAGAAGGCCGGCGCGCGGCCGGGCAGCTGCAGCGGCGGCGCGGCGGGGGGGAAGTCGGGCGCGGGGGCAGGGCCGAGGGCGCTTGCGGCGCCGCTGGGGAAGGGCATGGCGCCGCTGTGCGGCGGCAGGGGCTGCTGCTGCTGCTGTTGCAGGCCAACCGTGCCCAGCAGCGAAGGGTGGCTGCCGTGCAGCGAGCCGAAGCCAGCCCCGCCACCCAGCTGGGCCAGGGGCGGCCCCGCCGCTGCCTGTCCGGCGCCGCCGCCACCCCACGCGCTCCATGCGTCGAGCGGCGCGGACGCCGGCTGCTCCTGCTGCTGCGGCGGCAGCGTCGACGGCCACTGCGGGGGCGGCTGCAGCGGCTGCTGCCATTGCGCGGGCGGTGGCGCGAGCCCGGCGGCTGCGGCCAGGCCCCCGGCACCCAGCAGGGAGCCCAGATGGTAGCCCTGCTGCTGCTGGTGCTGGTGCTGGTGCTGCTGCTGCTGCACCTGCTGCTGCTGCTGCTGCTGCTGCCCGAACAGCCCGGCGCCCTGCTGAGCCCCCGGCATGGCCCAGTGGCTGCCCGCCGCGCCGCGCTGACCCAGGAGATGCCCTCCCGCGCCCGAGCCCGCGCCCGCGCCCTGCAGGCCGCGGGCGCCCCGCATCAGCTGCGCGGCGGCCCCTAGCAGCTCCCCCGCGCCCGCCGCGCCGGCCGAGACCTGCAGCTGCCGCGGCTCCTCCCCCGCGGACCGCAGCAGAGCGCCGTGCAGCGCGGCGCGCGCGGCGTCCGCCTCGGCGGCGCTCGCAAACCAGACCGTCGCGGACGCGCCGCCGCCCCAGCCCGCGGCGGCGGCGTGCGGCGGCGCGCCCCAAGCCGCAGCGGCGCCGCGCGCGAGGTCGAGGCTCAGCAGGCGTCCGTATACCGCCATCAAAGATCTGAGCTCGCCCTCGTCTACTAGGGGCGGCAGATTAGTAAGGAAGAGGGGGTACGCGCCCGCCTCGCAGCCGGGGGGCAGCTGCGCCGCAGCCGTCGCCGCCGCTGCCGCCGCAGCTGCTGCTGCGGCGGCGGCGGGCTCGCAGGCGAGGGGGTGGGGGCGGAAGCCGAGCGCCGCCGCCGCCGAGGCGGACGCATACGGCCCCGCCGCGGCCCCTGCCGCCGCTGCTGCGGCAGCGGCCGCCGCCGCGCCGCGCTCTGCCGCGCCGCGCTGCTGCTCCTTGAGCCCGCCGCCCTGCGCGGGTGCCGGCCCGTTGTACGGCTGCGCCTGGAAGGGCCACTCGGAGCCCTGCCACACAAACTTGCCGCCGAGCGCGCGCGCGGCCGCGTCGGCGTGCGCGGGGTGCGCCATGATCACGCGGCCGCAGCCGCGCGTGCCCGGCGGGCCCTCGCGGCGCGCGGGGAAAGGGATGACCTTCAGGACGGGCCCGAAGCGCTGGAACAGCGCGGCCACCTGTTTTGGAGGGGGGGAAGTAGGCGGGGCGAAGGTAGTCACGCGTGGTCAGATGTGGTGCGGAGCTTTGCGGCGGGGAAGGAGGGGGCCGGGGCCGCGGCAAGCGCAAGGGACGGAGGGCCCCGGCGCGGCGCGGCGCGCGCGCGCCGGCGCGCGCCGGCCGGGAGCCCGGGCAAGCGGGGCGCGCTGCACCAGCGCCTTTTTCTCAAGCGCACCCCCTTCGCAAAGCGCGCGGCCGGCGCCTCCGCCGCGGCCACGGCCGCAGCCCGCCCCACGCCACCCCCACCCGCTCGCGCCCCTCGCGGGCCGCGCCGCGCCACGCGCGCGCACCTCGTGCGGCGTGACGGCCGGCGGCAGCGAGCAGTAGGCGACCGTCGCGCCCGGCAGCTCCGCCTGCTGCGCCTTGGGCGCCACGTTGAGCTGCGCCCACGCCACCTTGATCGGCGCGACGCCCGCCGCGAGCGACGCGCCGTCGAGCGCGGCCATGGCCGCGACCGCCTCGCTCCGCGAGAACATGGTGACGGTCCCGCTGTTGAGCGCCCCCAGGTCATCTGCATAGAGCTGCAGGTGTCGCACGCGCCCGTGCTGGGAGAAGAGCTTCAGGATGGTCTCCCTCGCCACGCCGGGGGGGACGCCGGTAAAGTAGAGCTTGGCGTTGCGCGCAGGGCCCTCGCGGGCGCCGGACGCGGCGCTGTCCTGCTGGCGCTTCGCGTAGTAGACGCTCATGAGGTCGCCGCCGGGCTGCAGCTGCACCTGGCCGTCGAACGTTGCGATGGCGAGGTCTGCGGGGCCC